GTATATAAAATCACGAAGTGCCAGGGTTCCCACTATTCTCTCCAGGTCTAAGTTCCTATATTTAAAGGCAAACGTTTCTTCTCCGTCACTATTCATTTTCCTTTCCCAGCCATTCCGTAATTGTTTCTATAAATCTTTTTTTAACTGTCTTTTTTATTCGTTGCCCTTCAAAATTAAGCCGAAAACCCCTTTGAAAACCAAAAACTAATCTCTCAGTAAGAACAGGATCATACCCTGATAAGAGGAAACACAATTGATGAGCTCTGACAGGAGTTGGTACAGTATTTAGAGCGTGTATTGGCAGGTTATTGTGCAGGGGACTGGCCGTCCTGTCTGGGGGCCTTGTGGGTACAAAAGGAACAAATGGTTGGGAAATGGGAACCCTGACATATATTTATGGCATCGGTGCTTATAGGCACACTGGCTACAGTCCAACCCCTTGCTAAATTTGAAACAGTACCCAAAAGGCTTCCTGTCAAATCAATTTTTGGGACTGGAATTATATTGTTCTGTGCCTGAGATGCATTCGACTGTGAAAATGTAGAGGGAGGCAACTGCTGCACTTGCATCCACAATTCCCAATGGATACAATCCCACTTACAAAAAGAAGTTTGAGACTGTCTCAAAAATCTGAATTTCTTATCGTAGAATTTCCAATTGTGCCCCCTGGCAGCCAGATCCTGCACAACCTCCCCATACTTCATGAGGACAGGAGCCTCATTAGGAAATTTGCAACAATACACGCCCACAAAAACAGGAAAACAATGAAGCCAAGATTCTATTGACAAAAATTTCATAATTAAATTGCATCTCATCATGGGAATGAAAAAAAAAAACAACATAAAAACACTTACATCTGTCTCCATCGCAGTTATACGTTATACTTTGGTAATTGTTTTCAGCCACCTTAACAGAACTTTGTTCTTGAAAGCAGCAAGACATCTTGATACAGTACTATTTAATTAACAGGGAAATAAAGTAATAAGCCAGCTTCTATTGTTAGTATTATAATACATATTCCATTTTCTTTCGTTCCTTTTGTAAATTTATTCTATATTACATCAATAATAATATATTGATGGATGTAAGATAAACACTTCTTTTGATATTTAAAAGCTGCAGGTTATCCACACAGAACTGCAGATCATCAGGTGGGAAGGGAGGGGAGGTAAAGAAATATAACACGTAGGAAAACTTGACCCCAAAGGAATGCTTATTAAACATTTCCTACAATACTGTACATGACTATACATTATCCAAGCCTTTATTATTTAACGTGTTATCCTGATGTATAATTATGTCCGTTTAATGTGGTCAGACAAGAATATTTGTACTTACAAAAAAACGTGTACTGTGTTGAATGATGAAGTCGAGCAAATCAGACAAAATAATAATATGATCACTGATCTCATCACAATAGCAGCGGTATTAGTCGTATTAAACAGAATGACATGTGATCTAACAAGTCTTAAAGTCATATCATGTGGATCGGATTAAAAAAATAGAAGTTAGAACTAGTTTTGATTACAATGTACACAGGAAATATCGTACAAAAATACCACGCACTCCAGGAACGCATTCAGCAGCGTGTGTCATAAAATTCCTTCACTCGATATTATTCTCTTTACTATTAACTTCAATATTCGATAATTCACTATTACCATTTGGATTCAAAGTAAGAAGAAATAAGTGTAAATCCAAGGCTAAACATAGCTTAACCCTTGTGAATATATACTAACTATCATAACAATAAACGAAGAAGTATTAGAATTAAATTATTTGAAAGTTGAAGGAAGCCCTTACCATGTGCTGCTTGGGAAGAAAGAATCCTTATATTCTCTACAAACGACATTATCTTGTGTGATCATAAATCATTACATTCATAAAGGATATTCTGTAGAAGTTTTAAGAATTTCTCACTGTACAAATATTGATCGAAGAGTGTTGAGCGATCTGCATAAGCTAATAATCAAACTATTGATCATAAATTATTGTGTGTTTCTAGTGACATCGACTCTTGAACGTTCGCTCAATCTATCGATCGCCTGACTTCCAATGTTAAACCATGCTTGACATATTTGTAAGAATTTCAGAATGTCGATCAAATGGTCCAATATAAACAGTCAGGTCCTGAGGGAGTACAAACTAAACACTCGAAAATCCCTCTAAACTTTCCTGTCCTATTGGACTTGATCAGTTTCACACTTGATCCATTCCTTAGACGTCACAATCCACTAAAACATCAAAAAGATTGTTAAGTCGTTAAATCAACTCCAATTGATTGACTTACCTCAGAACAAAGATCTGTTAAGAAAGTTTAGAATTTAGAGTCCAAATAAAGAGGACAGAATCTAACCAAGCTGTTACTATAAATATCTAACTGTTTTCGATTTCAATTAACTTCAGGGGTTAAACCGCTGACCATAACATCGCTGGCGCAGAAAGATAACATCTTTGTTCTGTTCAGTAGATATTACACTTCAATAAATCGCACCGAAAGATTTAGTATCTTAAATAAAAATAGCTAAAGAATTTATTACCCTAAATATCTCTATAAAAACCCAAGCTAGCATATAATGAAGGGGTTTAGTGATATCCATGATGACGTAATGCATGTGGATCGATGAGATCATCGATGGATGAGTCGGGTCTAATGGTCTGCCATCCTGGGTCTTAATGAGACATGCCGTATTAGTGATATATTCAATGCTATTGACTCACCTTTCGCTGTATGCACGAACAATGTTTTAGTGGTATTTCCAAATCCAATTAGGGGAGTGGGTGGGGTTATGGGGGGGGGGGAGGGCATGCCATAAATTGCCTATTGATGTCAAATATATGGTTAGGGGTGCACACATAAACCCTAATAACTCATGTACGTGACCTAATGGTTTTTAAGCGTGAGGGGAGAGAGGGCGTATGGTCATGGGCTGTCAACGATGAAGCCTATTTAGACGGCAGAATTACTGTGCAAGAAGCATGCAACACTCCTGCCCTAATCAGTTTATGAACAACGAGCGGCCTGACCTGCATGGATAGATTCTTACTACACGACGGCAGAATCTAGCTTGCTAGCGGATATAATGGTATCAGAACAATCAGTCCATTAAATCATTAATGAAGACAAATAGATAAATTATTATAATTAATGATTACCTTGTTGATCAAGGGACGAGTATGATGCAATGAAAGACATTTGAGTCTCTACATTAATTGAGATGATGAAATATTGCCAACCAAATACCACAGTCTGCTAGATTAAAATAATCTGACTACCTGGCGGTGCCGACAACTAACGTCCAATCAATCTTTTTCGTTTTCCATTCCATTTTTTTAAAGTTCAGTTTCGACTGTAGTTTCAGTTCCCAGCTCATAAAGAAACCCATTATTTTCGCCATTTAAAGGGCAACTTACCCCCCAAAATGACCCATTTTTAAGAGAAAGTACATCAATTGAGAAACACAAAAATTTAATTTTTAGAGGGGATAGAGCATCCGTGTTCCTAAAAAAATAATTTCAAAACATCGCATATATCGCTCTGGTGGCCGCCATCTTT